ACTTGGCTATAATGTGAGAGCAAATGAAAAAAAATGGCCACACCCACAGCCTTCCCTGTGTCAGGACACTCAGACACATTTAGTGCAATAATAATGTTTTATCAAAACCTTGTCATTTTAGGATGCGTTTGAAACTTACATGTGTATTTTATTTTTACATATTTTTAATATATCATGATTTGAGATAAAATATATATCTATTGTTATAATAAATGCATTGGAAAAATACTATAGAGTTTGGTGCTCTCTCTACAACCTTGGTCCACTTTGTGTCAGTTGCTCACAGTGATCATATTAACCTCATTATAATCACACCCATCAATTACCATTTCTGTTCGGACAAACCTCTCTTAGTCATCCCATCCAATTTGAATCACCTTCTTCCCTGGCTCTCTTAGAATCAATAGTACGGTCACTAAGACCCTGACACAAGGTTCCTTAAATATGTGTTAATCTGTAATGAATATTATCAAAGCTATTGTAGATTTCTTATCCTTGTCTCCGAATTTACCTGTGATATCCCTGGGCCATTTTGCCTCCATATAAATAGATATGTTTTGCCTCAGACTTCTCTACCTTAATACAGCTATGAGAAGAAGCAGGGAAAGATTAAAACCTAGAAGTTCCTGTCTCCAAAATAGACGGTCTTAATGAGCAAATTATTCTGCCTTCGATTGTGCACGTCCCCAGTGCTCCCCTCAGCCCTGTTCTGCCTCGACCTCAGCATTGTCTCTTCCTCCCGGTCACCTTCATGATATTTCTTGGGTTCACAAATTCCTCTTAGTTGCCATGCCTGGGTTTACTGTCCTTGGATGGATACAGACTCCACATCTTACTCATCCCATCAACCATCCCAAGTGACAGCAGGTGACACTATCTGGATTCATCATTTACTCAGAGTCACTGCAGAACCAAAAGGGACTAATGTTCCAAAACCCTGACTTCGGGGAAATGGAATCTTGGCACTTATTGATTTGATTGATGCTAGAAAGAGTGGAGAATCCAAAACTGCCCCCTTCTTATAAAAACCTTCTAGGAGCCTACTAACTAGTGTATTGAACAGTCTAAAGTCAATACAATAAAAACAGAAAGCATTGTCTTTTCCAGCCATGGTTTTCTCCTATGCTGTGTTGAATCTCTCTTGAAACTTCCTCGGGGAAATTCCACTTCATCAGTCATTTCTATGGATATTAGAGTCCAGGCCAGCTGAATTTAATCTGAACAAAACTTGAAACTCAAATTCTCCCTTGCACGCAAGCATTGCCCAGGTATCTCCCAGGAGACTGGAATTGGAAGGGGAATATGGTCGCTCTTTCTCTCATCCACTACCACCCCTCCACCTTCTTCCTGAGTACCCCTTCCTCCTCTGTTGTATTGGGAGATGGAAAAGGGGAGTGGTACACATTGACTGTACCACTAGCCTCCTCTGTTGGTTTCTTACTCCCTCTGTGGCAGGTTCTGCAGGAGGGCTGTCTTACAGTGTGCTTTCATGAGTCCTTCTGGAGCATCCTCAAGGATTCTCCTCACAGCATGATTCCTACATGGGATAAGCAGTCAGATTTCACCCTTTAAATACTCCCTAAGCTCCTACCTTCATTGGCACCAGCCATAGCCTCTTGATAATGCGGTCTCTCTGTCAGACAGAAAACCATCCTAAGCACAACACTAGCAAGACTGTGCAAGCTGGTCTTCCTTCCCAGATATCATCTGCTCTTATGTCTCAATATCTTGTTCTATCTCCTCAGTTCCTTTTCTTTATTCAACAATAGGCTCAGAGATTAGGACATCAAGTCTACTACTATAGCAGGCATTCTGCTGAGGGATAAAAATGCTGCCTTCCTTTCCTGAAGACATCTCTAACATCTACAGGCTGTCATTGTGAATCCTGCCCTTTCAATTGACCCGTATTGTAGAACAACCAGTTTCTCTCCCTTGTACAAGATTAGGGGGACACTATATCTTTGTCTCCTAGGACAATCACTCCCCTATCTAAAAAAGTATCATGTAAGCTCAGCCTTCCAAATGTATAGTTGAACCAGAGAATAAAGTTCTGTTTTTCCTTAGCAAGTCCTGCAGAGATTTTCAGCAGCATATTCTAGGGTTACTTTAGTATAAGGGGATAAGAGGCATGTATTATTTTCATCTTTCAACTTCAGCCAACATCTAATACAAGAAGAAAATTAGCATCCAACATCCTCTTCTTACACACGGTCCAACCAGAGCTTTCTCAGGAGACTAGAGAGGCAGTAAATATCTCAAAATACTACTTAGTCTGAGGGGGAAATTCAAATCCATATAAGAAAGTTAGGTGCATTGAAGGTATGTGTCAATTTCTGGCTACTGCTTCCCATTTTCCTTAAGAATGACTCAGCTGCTTGCCATGGAATGTGATTGTCACAGCCATGACAGGGACAGAACGGAGAAGGCACTGTGAGTTGTAAGCAAAGGGAGAAGAATTCTATTTGTTGACTCACCCTTGATTGCTGATGTGGAATGTCCAAAATGCACTCCGAGGGGGTAATTCTGAGGTCCAGCAGTGCCTGTTCCTACAGTACCAATTGGAATGACTAAGTCATGAAATTCTCCCTGGATTCGTCGTCGGAGCAATCTTTGTATTTCCTTGACTTCTCGGGACAACAGGAAGCCAAGCCTTCTCAGGATGGGACTCCTGGGACTGGTGATTCTCAGGGAGGTGCCCTTATGCTGTGGGGGAAGTGACCAGATCATGATCTTACAGCTACTGCTGTCATCACAGGACAAATTCTGTGTGTGTGAGAACTGCAGACAACTGATCTCAGGAGGATAAGAGTGAGTGACAGGAGCAATCACAAAAATATTCTTTCAACAAGAGACCTCTGCGGGCAGAAGAATATCAGAGAGGAGAGTCAATGACAGAATATCAGAGTCAATCAAGAATATCGGAGAGGAGAGTCAATAATCCTTTTCCTCTTCCTTCATCCCAAGCCACATTCCTAGAGATAATTCACTTTCTCTTAAATATATCAAAATAAATTATGGAATTCTGCCCCCCACCTCCCACCGTGTTTTAAAGAGGATAAGTCGTAAAGTGCATACTCTGATTGGGAGTTAGGTGTCTAAAAGCCATAAACTATCAAGTACAGAGAACAATCACAGGCATTTACCATAAGCATGTATTATTTTAATTTAAATATATGTTCTCTTATACTTCTGACTTTAATATCTTGGAAACAAATAGCAAACTACAGGTATTATAATAATAGAGATGAATTCAGCGAAAAATTCATCTCTAAAACTATTATAAAATCAAATGGGAAAAATAAGAATCAGATGTTCTATGTCATCCTACAGAATCCTTAGCATTTATATGTTTTGTTCCATTAAATATGATGCACATGATGTCACCACCATCACTAACCTCATCATCAGCAACACATTGAACAAATCGTCTTCATGACCCACATTAATTATCTCCAATATTTTATGTTCGTGGACCATTTTATTTGCTTATAATCAGTATCATATATCCCATGGAAAGCTAAATATGGGCAAATTGACTTTTTTCATATTAAGTATGGGTCTTGTGATCTCAACCATTGTACATTTCTTTTTTTTTTTTTTTTTTTTTTTTTTTTCAGATGGAGTTTCGCTCTTGTTACCCAGGCTGGAGTGCAATGGCGTGATCTCAGCTCACCGCAACCTTCGCCTCCTGGGTTCAAGCAATTCTCCTGCCCCAGCCTCCCGAGTAGCTGGGACTACAGGCGTGCACCACCATGCCCAGCTAATTTTTTGTATTTTTAATAGAGACGGGGTTTCACCTTGTTGACCAGGATCGTCTCGATCTCTTGACCTCGTGATCCACCCGCCTCAGCCTCCCAAAGTGCTGGGATTATAGGCTTGAGCCACGCGCCCAGCCCTGTTGTACGTTTCTTAACGATTTTGTCTGCTTATTCATATAGTCCTACCTTAATTATCTCAGGGGCCCCAACTGCCCCAGACAGGGTCTAGGTCCATCCTCCATTTATTACCTAAGACATCGCACTTGCAGGGTCCAATAGTCTCAGATTACCCAACATCCCCAAGAGTCAGGAGCCAATTACATCTCAACAAAGCATGCCCCTGGGGAATATGCAGATGAAAAGGGAACTTATGTCCAAAAAACAGACATTTGTGTCCCAGACAAATCACACGATATCAGACACATAGGTTTACATCTCTGATGTTAGTCCAGTTAACCTCGAAAGGCTGAAAGACAGGAAAAGTGTCATATGCATCTCTATATTCTGGCTGCAAAATGCAAGGGGAAGAGCTCAAGTTAAAGCAGCTGAGCAGAGTGAGTGAAAGGAGAAGAAATGACAGGTTCCCAACACACGTGGAGAGCTGTCATCAAGACTTCCTGGTTCCCTCTTGCCATACGTCTTGGCAAGCATGCAGGAAGATGCTGGAGGCCTAGGATGGGAATGTTTGGCTCTGCCCCCTCAGCTTGTTGTGAAAGCAACATGCCTGGGCTGTGCATCACAAACCCCGCACAGGATAAAAAGGCTCTTACCTTGGACTCCTCATCCATAGCCTCCCTAGAGAGCAGCCTTCTTCTCTTTAGCCTCTTCTGTATCTGGCAAGTATCTAGCAGGGGACCCTGAGCTGGGGGTGTTTGGGAAGATAACAGATTTTACTAGGGAAGGGGGAAGCAGAGGCGTCAGATGTGCAGACAGCAGGAAGAAGACTTTGGAGGGCAGCTAAGGGTAGGGAAAGGGGCAATGAGCAAGGAACCTCTGTGGGGTGCGTGAGAGTCTGTGACACACAAGAGCCCTGGCTCTCAGCATCCCCTCCACTCTTTCCCTGAGAGATATGCCCATACCCAGCCGTATTCTCTGAGAACCATTACTTAATTAGGTGTATCTGCATTAGTGTTTCTGTGAAAACAGGAGGGCTTGGGGACCAGTTGGAAGATATCAGCCTTCTTTTCTGGAAGAAGGAAAAGTGGAAGGAAATGTCTTACCAGGCCAGTTTTACTTGAGATCAGTTTCTGTTTTTGTTCCTGAAGTTTATATCTCAGGAAGCAATTGGTCTTAGGAGTAAGGGCTTCATAAAATTATTTGTATAGGTGCTTTTCATTGGTCTGGTGCTTTTCCACTGACCTTTTCCTTTGATCTATCCAGGCTCTCAGGCCTCCTGCCAAGATGTCCTGCCAGCAGAACCAGCAGCAGTGCCAGCCCCCACCCAAGTGCCCCTCACCCAAGTGTCCCCCAAAGAGCCCAGCACAGTGTCTGCCTCCAGCCTCCTCCTGCTGTGCTGCTCCAAGCCCTGGGGGCTGCGGTGGCCCCAGCTCTGAGGGCAGCTGCTGCCTGTGCCACCACAGGCGCCACAGGTCCCATCGATGCCGGCGCCAGCGATCCAACTCCTGTGACAAGGGCAGTGGTCAGCAAGATGGGGCCTCCAGCTGTGGCTATGGCTCTGGGGGCTGCTGCTGACCTAATTCCTGATGCGGAGACAAGCGACTTTAATGGAAACAAGCATCTGAAGGACCAAGGAAAAGCCCCAACTTGGTGGATCCTTTCTTAGACATCCTAATTAATCATTCATTCATGGGGAAGGATTGTTCTTTTTCCAAAAGGCTACACCCATGTGTTTTCCAAGATCCTGGAAGCCTCCTTTCCTCCTGACAATGTCATCACTTGTGTCTGATTACACAGAGAAATAAAGCTTCTGAACAGCACCTGCATCTCACTTGTCTTTCCCTCTGCCCCACAGAAGGCTGCTCAGTGGGTCTCCCCGCCTCAGCTCCTGAAGGTCTAGTGTGCCCAGCATCCAGAATAATACTGGCTTGTGTTTGGAAAATTAACGGGTCAGATTTTTCTTCATGCAGGTGTCCCTGTGGGAGACTTGAGGATAGAAGTGTGGGAGCAAGGGGAGGTGTTGAGAGAGGTTGGTGAAAATCTCTTAGAAAGACCTGACTTTTCTTGTGTGGTACTGTGGGAGGACTGATCTGACACTGGAGCCCACAGTTTCTGCTGAGAGTGAGGTAGAGGATCAGAAAATCAGCAAGAATGAGACCAAAGAGAAGGGAGGGTGTGTGGGCAGAAAGAATGGTCTGAAGGATAAAGATCAAGTCAAACTGCACATAATGGACTTCAGGAAGGGAGTTGAGGTGAAGTTAGTAAATTCTGAAGCAATTGGAATTGAAGTTTTCTCTGATGAGAATGCTAATGAGAGGCTCTGTGCTCTTAGAAAACAGAGAAAAGAGGACATGAGGAATGTCTCCAGGGGTGCAGATGACATATCTGTACATTTCTTTTAAGAAATTTCAGATAGAATTGGACTTTTTTTTTTTTTGCTGTTGAATGTTACTCTCTGAACTCAATAAAAACAAGACACAGCCATATTACAGCTACCACTGGACTGTAACTGGCAGCTCCTGCCCCAACGCTGGAATACGGCAGCGTTTTATCCCTACTCCAACCAAAGTGATTGATGTGAATCACGAGTACTGCTTCATTTCGACAGATGGATTTTGGAAATACTTTTGCACAAGTGGGGGCTGTTCAACACAAGCCATGATGGTTCTTTAGGTAACTTCAGAAAGATGAAAATAAGTCATATCGCTGTGGCTACAGTCAAAGAAGAAATTTTTGAGGGAAATCAGTTTTAGCATGGACATTTTAGACAGAGAATAAGACCTATGTGATACTTTGGGAATTCAACTGATTATAAGAAGTTATTTTTAAAATTTCATTTTTAAAAAGTGGCCAACTGGAAATCAGTTTTGCTCCAATATACTTGGACACATTATTTCTTAAGAAACTGGAATGAAAAGTTTCAAAAGGAATGGTGATTGGAAGTTGAAGTCAAATGTGCTCTGCTGGTCAAATCATTTACCTGGCTGAGAATAGTTCTCTGAGAAAGAGAACAGAGAAATGAAACTTACAACTGAGTAGACTTGAATCAATGTAATAGGCTTCTTGTTCTGGTACACTTGACACATGCTTGGAAAGTGCTCCTTTAAAAGTCAGAATTAAAACACATAATGTAGAAAAAAGAAAAAGAGTGGGCAAGCTCCTTATGGGAACACCTAGGTCCCACATTCGGCTATGTTGTACATGCAAAGCCACAAGCATTGATGAAGCTAGTTGGCCTGAAATTCATAGGAATTATGTTCATAAAATTTATTTCAGGATGTATAGAGATTGAGATGGCACAAACATTTGATGAGTGTATCTCCCATGCCAGGTGCCATTCTAGGCACTGTAGATACAATGGGAACAGATGAAGTTTCTATTTACTTGGAGCAGACATTGCATGGGCATTTTGCAGACTGACATTTTCCTTACTCTGCATTCAGTTGGATTCTGATTCCCTGTGTGTAAGGAGTGTCAGTGTTAGTGAGATAAACCCAGCCTTGGAAAAACTTTAAGGCATGAAAGTGGTGAATTTTGGGGGAACTAAGAAAGCTATCTAGTGGCTATTGGCACCTCCGCAGAGCCAACAGCTTTAGAAGGAAGGAAGTAGGTTGCTGATGGCAGAAAATTGGTGGGTGTCCTATTGTTACACAACAAATCACCCCAAAACGTAATGACGTGAAATGACACACTAAGTGATGTGGAATGACATCCATCTTACCTTTCTCACAATTTTATGTTGGGGGAAGCAGCAAAGGAGAAAGGACTTACAGAGTGCCTATATAAATTGGTTATGAGTGACATATAAACTGAGAACAACAAACCTTGGCAAACTGCGGGAGGCCTCTGGGGAGGCAAATGTCTCCAGGCCTCATATTCCAGGTGCAGGGTGACCTAGACTCTGTTACCATAAACATTGCTCAAGGGTGTAAAACCCCTTCATTGCACTAAGACATAACCAGACTTGTAGGCGCCTTGTGAGGCCCGCTTCCACCAGCTGTACATAGATAACAGGCTAAAGATAACCATGTGTTTTTGTTTTGTGAAACTCCCAAACCATCGCTGTTATCAATCTTTAGAATGATGCACCAGTTCCGGCTCACTGATTCACCCCAGCATCACGTCACCCTCTCCCCACCAACACTCCACCACCTACCCTATAGATCAAAGTGATTGTAACCAATAAATACTGTGGAAGATCAGAGGCTGGGGCCTTTGCACCCTCCAGTTTATGCATTGGCCCCCTGGTCCCACTTTATGCATTCTTAACCTGTCTTTTTTTCTTTCCTTTGTTGCCACCAAACTCGGGTGGGGTGTGGGGGCTGGTTCCCTACGTTCTATGGGTTAGAAATTCAGGGAGGACTCAGCTGGGCCATTCTCATTTCATGCATTTGCCATCAGATGTTGACTGGAGCCATGGTCATGGGAAGGCTGACTGGACTGGACATCTGAGAAGACACACTCAGATTGTTGACCGTTGATGCTGGATGCCAGCTGGGACCTCTTCTGGGGTTGTCAGCTGGAGGACCTACACCTGGCCTCTCTTGCATGATGGTTTCAGAATAGCCAGACTTTTTACATGGTAACTGGCTTCCCCAGAGACAGCCTCCTAAGAGGACCAGGTGGAATCTGCATGACCTTTTGTGACCCAGCATTTGAAGTCACATAGCATATTTCAACCGTATTCATTTGGTTAAAGGAGCCATAAGCCTGCCTAGATTCAAGGTAAGTGGACATAGGCCAAAATTCTCAATAAGAGAAATGTCAAAAAACTTTGAAACATGCTTTAAAACCATCACAAAAAGGTATTAGCCAAATCCTCACCGTCTTTTCAGTTCACTCTATGTATTGCTGAAGACTTAGTATAAATTAATGTTCCCACAGTGTTTTAAAAAGACTCAGATTTCAGCCATGGTTGTAACATATTCAAGTTTTGAAGAGGGTGGTCGCTTCTATAATCTTTATAGAACTGGAATATTCAGAACTATTGCTGCAATAATGATGTCTTATCAAAAGATATCAAAGTTATTTACATATGCTAAATAATTATCTAATTCCTGGCCAACATAATGAAACTCCATCTCTACTAAAAATACAAAAATTAGCCAGGCATGGTGGTTCATGCCTATAGTCCCAGCTACTCAGGAGGCTGACGCAGGAGAATTGCTTGAACCTGGGAGGTTGCAGTGAGCGGAGATCACGCCACTGCACTCCAGCCTGGGAGACAGACTGAGACTCCATCCCAAAAAAAAAAAAAAAAAAATTCAACACAATGGAAAACTATACAGCTGTTACTTACATTTAGCAGAAACACTGGTGAAATAAACTTAGTTACCACTATTATCCATCACTTTATTATTTTTTCCATCAATTATCGTTTAAACCCTCACTTTTCCTAAAGTGTTCTGGCCAATGTGATATGAGCATCCCTGGGCATATGAACCACTCCTATCTCTTTGATCAATAGAGCAGTCAAGTAACTGCTGAAGCAATGTCCTTAGATTTGCAAGTCTGTCATATCACAGACCTAGACTGCTAATTGGTGGCTCTGCTTTTAATTCCAGCATCTCTGGTTCATTTTGCCTTTATTTTTTAGCTTTGTTTTTCCCTAGACACCTCTAGGTTTCTCCTGGTATTTAAAAGAGGGGGCAGTGGGAAAGTCCATATCCAGTGCCCATGTTCTTGGCCTGCGCACTATTCTGTCCCCCATTATCTTAGCTTGCTTCCCTTTCAGATCCCACTTCTCTCAAAGGGCAGCTTTATTTCCTCCCTCTGGCAAGAAGCCTTCTACCCAGGGACACCTGGTTCTTGATTCCCATGAGTATTCCTCTTAGTCACTTTATCTAGGCCACCACAGGACCATCAAAGGTCATTCTGCAGGCCAGAAACCTCTCCCAACACCCACAAGTGATACTAGTGACAATGTGTGGACACTTCACTCCTGTCATGGAAACAGGGAGTTACCATCCAAAGGTAAGTCCCATCGGCTTTCCACACACTTACATAATAGTCCATATCATTCAAGCTCATAAGTGGATTGCTGATTTGTCAGCCAGTATCTCAAGGATGGGAACCATAGTTTATACATGTCTGAATCCTTTGTGCCAAGATATATCTAAACTGTGTTCTCAACTCTTGCTGTTTGAATGAATTAATCAATGAATAAAAGATGACCGACAATTAGGTTTCAACAGTCCTGATGATCAAGGCCAGATATTTGGGTGTTACAGGGACTTCCTGGTTCCCTTTTATCAGAAAAACACCTGGGCATCTACTGAAGAATTGTTGAATTCCCTACTGAGGGGCCAGAGTTCGAAGAGCTGAAGAGCTGTCTTTTGGAGTAGAACCCATCACCGTCATCACTCTCCATGTCCCATCTCCTTTTTTCTGACTCTGAATCAAAGTAGGAAGAGAGAATATCTTGATCAGCAAACACCCTGAGCCAATTCCTCCCTGATCCCTGCTCAAGACACTTTCTGTTTCCCTGCTGCCCTTAAGTTAGCAAAGCCATGAGCTTAGGGTCACAGGGTCAGGGTCTGAGAAAAATGGTGAGGGACAAGGAGAGATAGAGATGATAGATAGATAGATGATTGATAGATGATAGATGATAGATAGATAGATAACAACGATTTACTTGTTCATTTCTTCCAGGGATCACTGAGCTCAGATGTCTTGAAAGGAAGAACTGACAGCACGGTCAGGCCGTACCAAGTGCCTGACCCTCAAGTACCCTTTTGGTTGTTTGTGGTCAGTCTATTTCTGTTGTGTTTCCAGCTCTAGGGGAAGCTGCTATTGGAGTTACCATGAGCCCACAGAACCCACTGACATGCCCACGTTACCATGAGCCCACAGAACCCACTGACATGCCCACCAGAGCATTCTGGAGGCTCCGGTTGCTGCCGCAGCTCTGGGGGCTGCTGTGGTCCTGGGTCATGAAGACTACAGAGTATCAGAGTTGGAGGAGCCAGAGGACCAAGGACCTGCTCCCATCTGGAGCTTCTCCTCTTCTTCTCTGCCACACCGAGGGCCGAGCTTCCAAAGTGTTTTCTGAAGGATCTGAATGGGCCCAGTAAGCTAATTCCCTTTGCTTTCCTAAGCGCTATGTTTACTCCCAACTCATGCTTCTGTCCTTGACCTTGTGAAAGACTGCCCACCTCATTCCCATCCTAATATACAACCCCTCTGAAAGGACTTTGTGAGTTGAGAGGTGTATGGCCCGTTTGTGTCTGTTCCTAAGATAGGACTGTGTACCCAGTGTGGGGCAGCCCCCCATAGGGCAAAGACATGAACACGTTAGACAGAGGGTGCGATGAGAAAGCACAGCTTATTTTTCACAGCGCAGGGACATTAAAGAAGGAGGGACGCACTGAGACCAGCAGGATAAACCCACTGGGGGAGTACTTGACACTCTTCACTGAACATCTCAGCAGGAAAGAGGGCACAGGAGCAAAGATGCCCCAGGCGAGGGCTGGTTCCAGTCTTTTTGGCACTTCCTTTTCTCCAATATTTTTCCTTAATCTCGTGGCTCAGGTCAGCAGCAGACCCAGAGCTGTGGGCACAGCTGGAGCCCCTGCCTTGCTGACCACTGCCCCCATCACAGGAGTTGGAGCTCTGGCGCTGGCATCGGTGGGACCCGCGGTATCTGTGGTGACTCAGGCAGCAGCCACCCTCGGAGCTGGGGCCACAGCCCCCAGAGCTTGAGGCACGGCCAGAGGAATCTGGAGGCAGACACTGCACTGGGATCTTTGCAGGGCATTTGGGTGACGGGCACTTGGGAAGGGGCCGGCACTGCTGCTGGTTCTGCTGGCAGGACATCTGGGCAGCAGGTCAGGGAGCCTGGGCAAAACAAAAGCAAAGCAAAATACTTGTCAGTGAAGGTGTCAGGCCAGGGCCTTCTCATACTTTGGCTAAATTATGGATCCCTTCCCCTAAACTCAGCCTGAGAAGGGAAATGGAAAGTGATCTGGAGTTAAACCAGCCTAATACTGTCCCTTCTTCTAGCCCTCTACCCTGCCTGGGAGGCAGCTGACACTCCTGGGTGGGCCTCCAGGGCTCCTGCGCACGCCCCCGGACCCGATGCGAACAGCGCCCCCTGCAGGCGTTCCGCGCACACAACACCCATGACTCCCCAGGGTGGCCTCTCTCTGGACACCCATGAGGAGGGTAAACATCCCCGAGGGGCACCGAAGGAGGGAGGGTCCTGAGGTCGCAGCATCACGGAGCCCCTGAAGTGGCTCGCGGACTCGTCTCCCTCACAATCCCGCTCCTCTCCCATCCTAGTCCCAGCCTGCCGCCCACCAACCGCAGCCTCTCCGCCGCCTCTACCCTGTCAGCCTAGGACAGATGCGGAAGCACAGATGTGTTTGCGCGGCCCTTTCAGCCCAGGTCCTCTCGCCAGCTGGACCCTCACCTGGGGTAGTGGAGGCAGGAGAAGGTTCTTCCTGAGGCGACTGTGGACTGAGGAGCCCCAGCCCTTGTATCCTGGGCCTGATGATGTACAGCCCAAGTGTGCGTCCCCCTTCGCTGCCAAAGGGAGGGAAACACCACACACTCCCAAGGACCAGGCTTCCAGCATATTCTAGGCGCATACTTTGCGAAATGGCAAAAGGGAATCAGGAAATCTCGATGACGGTCCAATTATCCACCGTTCAGGCCCCTCTGGCTGCTGTTCCACTTTTTTTTCTTCATTCAGTTCACATGCTCTGAAGCCAGGGTACGGTCCTTTGTGGGCCCTGGTAATATGGGGACAAACAGAACACATTTCTGCCCTTGACTAGCTCACAGCTTCTCAGAAGGCCAGATGGACAACTGAATAATTAAATCAGACCCTATTCGCTAAGCGACACAGCACAAGTGTGCACAAACACAGCAGGCCGGGGTCACTGCCTCTGGGTGTCAATCCCCATTGATTTGTGGATTACTTTACATGGGTGATGGACTCAGCCCCTGTCCTCGGGTGTTGGCTCACGGGACCTTGGGAATGAGGTGTGGTTGAGTAAGGGGTGGAAGAATGGAGCTGGGGCCATGGCTTGAGAGGTAATGCCTTCAGGGAATATCAGGGCATCTGGCATGTGGCATAGGGCACTGGTGGAGGGGGAGGACTAACGTGGAAGGAGGAGCGAAAATGTCTCCCATTTTGTAGGCTGGCTGTTTACTCTGTTGGTAGTTTCTTTTATGTTCAGAAACTCTTAAATTTAATTAGATCCCATTTGTCAATTTTTTCTTTTGTTGTGATTGCTTTTGGCATCTTTGTCAAAATGTGTTGGTGATGGCAGTAGCAGCCTGCCTGAAGCAGCCTCTGCAAATACCCTAGCTGCAGTTGGGGAGGCATGGCCAGAGCTGTGTGCTCCACAGAGCTGGTAGGAACCAGGAACAGTCAGGAGCCACACCCCCTTCTGAGTTAAAGGGGCAGGAGCCCCACCCTCCCAGACACAGCTGCAGCTGCCCAAACTTGGCTGCAGACCCAGGCATCTCTCTGTTCTCTGGGACCTGGGAAGCCCCCCTGCCCCACAGGCTTGGAAGTGCCTGCTCCCACTGCCTGGCATCTCCCTGCTCTTGGCACTTTCTCTGCTTTTGGAGCAAAGTTGTAGCTGAGCCCGGGCACTGTGATGACTCAGCTGGTGTGCATGCTTAGGGTAGTGCTGACATGCCCGTTCCCTGTTGTCTTGGTACCCTCCAGAATTTGGGTGCTGATGAGCACTGGAGGGAGGCTGATGAAGGGCTGAGGGTGGCTCAGAGTGGGCCTGAAGGTGTCCCTCGGCAGGACAGCCTGGGTGCTGTGAATGGCAGCACAAGGCAGACAGGCTTCTGGGCAGAAGGGGTGGTCCCTGGTGAAGCCCCACCTTCAAGCCATGGATGGCCTGAAGACTGGGGACCAGGCTGCCAGTTCTGCAAACTGGAGTGAGAACTTATGGTGCTTTTCTTAAGCCCGCCCATGGCCTCCCATGGACAATGAAAGTGCAGTCAGCATGCACTTTCTCCCCTCTGAAGCCCATAAAAACTCCAGAGTCAGCCAGACTTGGGCAGAGGACAGGATGAGCTGCCTGTGGAGAGGAGCTACTCAGTGTGGTTTTCCTCTCTGTTGAGAGCTGTACACTCATTAGGATGACCTGCCTGCAGAAAGGAGCTACCCACTTTGAGTCTCTTGAGAGCTATATTGACACTCAACAAAGTACCTCTTTGCCTTGCTCACCCACCAGTTGTCCATATACTTTATTCTTCCTTGACGTGGGACAAGAACTCAGGAACCACCAAATGCTGGGACTGAAAGAGCTGTAACACAAACAGGCCTGAAACACCAAGATCTCCCCATCAATGCCCCCAGCTCATCATGTTGTGGGCAATGAGGGAAAGAGAACAAAGAAGGACAGAAGAGCTGCAGCCTTTTGGGGAGCCCAGATTTAGGAGCTCCCTGAGCCAGGGCTGTGACACTCTCTTTGGGGCTCTGCAGTTCCTGGAATCTCCAAGATTCTAGGTACCATCACATTCTGTGGTGCCAGCAGTGGAAGCTGCTTGCAGTACACCTGGTCCAGCTGCAGCAGGGAGCTAGCACCTGTGCCAGCACCTGGAGCTGCCCACCTTGCCACAGCCAGCATGCCTGGCTGTGCACAGTGGCTGGACCCCTACACTCACTAGCTCATGCACTCCTCACCGCTCCACACCTGGCTCACCCTTGGCAGGCATGGGATCTGGGCTGGTAGTATGAGCTGAGTGCAGCCTGCCAGGCAAAGTTGGCAGAATAGGCCTAGTGGGCCTGAGCAAAACTCGGGCAAAGGTGCCACTGGCCACAAAGGTTTCCATCTAGAAAAGATACACTTGAAAGATCGTGTGACAGTGAGATGAAGAAACAAGAACAGAGTGAAGATGAGAAGGTCAGGGTTGAATAATACAGGAAACCTCTAGGCAGAGCAAGAATCACCTTAGGAGTCATGGTCCTTGTGGCCAGAGGCAAGGGAAAACCTCCACTAAACTGTTGATTATCCCTAGACATCCAGAGTCCACAGAGACACTTGTATGCTTCTAAAAAGGATGGAACTGAATTCTCTGGTTGTGAATTCATTTTATAGATAGAAGAATCTGGATAAAATGGTGACAAAGAGATCTTTGTACTTGGCATATATTTTATGAACAAAAATGTTAACTGCAATACGGTTGCAGTTAATTGGGTAGGTGGGCTTTTCTCTGGAATGAAAGTATGCTTTACATGTTACTAACACAATGACCATGGCTTTAATAGAAATATTCTTATTCTATGCTTGGTGCATTTTATTTGGTTCTAATTTTACTTTAAGGTTGCTTTAACTCCAGTTGAGATGTCCCGAGAGCAGAACCAGCAGCAGTGCCAACCCATTCCCAAATGTCTCCCAAAATGCCCTACCTCTAAGTGTTGCCCCGAATGTCTGTCCCAGTGCTCAGCCCCATGTCTGCCTCCAGTCTCTTCCTGCTGTGGCTCCAGCTCTGGGGGTTGCTACAGCTCTGCAGGTGGCAGCTGCAGCCTAAGTCACTACAGGTGGTGCAGGTTCCACCGCCACAGACCCCAGAATTTTGACTGCCGTGAGTGTGAGCTCTCCAGAGCCTCTGGCTATTGCCACAACTCTGGGGCTGCTGCTGACATGGGCCCTGAGGACCCCTGAGGAGCAATGAAGAAAAACCTAATAACCTGTCCCAGCCTCTCAGATCCTCATAGCTCCTCTCCTTCCTATAACTTGGTGGCTGTCAGGGACCAAGAAAATTTGGAATATTTAAAAGTTGACACTTGGACACAAAGAGGGGAGCATCACACACTGGGGTCCATTGGTGGGGAGCTAAGGGAGGGATAGTGGGAGGGAGTGGGGGGAGGGATAACATGGGGAGAAATGTCAGGCATAGGTGATGGGGGGATGGTGGCAGCAAACCACTTTGTCATGAATGTACCTATGCAACAATCCTGCATGATCTGCACATATACCCCAGAATCTAAAGTATAATAAAAAAAAGTTTATATTTATTTCTGTCTGATTCATTATCCTAATTATTTATGAGATATTTGACTTTTTCCTCTGATTTTTTTCCTAAAATGACAATAAATCTCCTATTTTCTGCCCACATTGTATCTAGGTCTTTATTATTCCTTCATCATTTAGGCTTAGTTACCAGTGACCTGCCCTGCCCAACTCCCAAACTGCAGAATTTTCACTCAGCTTTCCAGTCTCTGCATTTACTTGGCAGATTCTCCAAAAGCCAAACCCACCCTGGGCTTTCATAGGAGGCACTAGCTCCCATCTCCTGCCTCCAATCTCCTTCCTCCCCCTGACGCAGGGACCCACGGGTAAATGGAGCTGAGCAGCATGGGAAAGAACCTGTCCCAGGCCCTCTGGAAAAGAGACATTTTTTTTTTTTTTTTTTCTTTTTTTTTTTTTTTTTTTTGGTGATACAGAGTCTTGCTCTGTCGCCCAGGCTGGGTGCAGTGGCTCAATCTCAGCTCACTGCAGCCTCCACCTCCAGGGTTCAAGCAATTCTCCCTGCCTCAGCCTCCTAAGTAGCTGGGATTATAGGCACCTAACTACCATGCCCAGCTAATTTTTGTATTTTTAGTAGAAATGGGGTTTTGCCATGTTGGCCAGGCTGGTCTCAAACTCCTGACCCCAGGTGATTTACCTGCCTTTGCCTCCCAAAGTGCTAAGATTACAGGTGAGAGCCACCATGCCCAGCCAACATTCTGATATTACCTGTTCTCTGTGCCCTGAGCACTTCACACCCAACTCATGCTCACGTGTCTGTGCACAAGCTCTCCTCTCCTGTCTCTCCTGCTCTGTGCTTCTACAGACCACTGGTAA